AGATTTCAAAACTACAAAACTTGTGCTTATAAAACTTGCTTGAGGGCACCTGGGTGGCTCAGTTGGTTAAGCGACTGCCTTTGGCTCAGGTCATGATCCTGGAGTCCCGGGATCGAGTCCCGCATCGGGCTCCCTGCTCAGCGGGGGGTCTGCTTCTCCCTCTGCCCTCTTCCCTCTCGTGCTCTCTCTCATTCTCTCTCAAATAAATAAATAAATAAAATCTTTAAAAAAATAAAATAAAATAAAATAAAACTTGCTTGATTTCAAAAATCATCTGAAGTACCAGTGAAAATTTCCTGGGCCCTTTTCAGATATTTTGAATCAGAATTCTGAGGCATGGCTTGTTTTAAATAGGCACCCACTAATTTTTACAAGCCAGGCAGATCTAGGAAGCAGTCATTTATTTGAAACTAGCTCATAGCTGCTGGCTCACACATTTGCTCAGCCCACATTTAAAGAGAGGACGCCAGCAATTCCATCCTTGGGAGACCAAGAGCTGTGCAGGTCCTGTCCTTATTCCACTCCATATACGGCTGTGGTCATGGCTATATGAAATGTAGCACAGGAGAGCAGGCCAGTGTGGGAAGATAATCCCCTCCCCCCATACACACCCAGTGTCATCATATAGGACTACTATAGTCTTCAGTTTGCCTTAGTGAAGAGGGGGAAATATATGGATGGGGTTATTTTCTCTGCATCATTTACAACTTTAGAATTCTGTTCCTCACCGAAATTATAGTTATGTACATGATGGGATGTGTACATGTGTGTGGGTTTAGAATTTTTCCTTATGCTTTTTTCATGTGGTTATTGGGTTATTTTAAATTCAGTTTATGTACTGAAAAATTGCTCCTCTATTAATCTCAGTACTATTAATTTGAAAGTTAATCAGAGTTTATGCCAGATTGCCCAGATCTGGAGTAGTATTCCCTGAAGTAGGCTGGTCCCAAAGTTGGGAAATAATAGGGTTTTTTGAGTTTGCACTCATTTCCTGGGTCCTTCTCCTTGCCCTGGGGGATCAAGGCCCTCCTGTTGTTCTCAAGCTGCCCATTCTATCTACTCCCCCTCCTCAATTCCCTTCCCTGGTAGTGCCCCATGCTCCAAAATTCTCTTTCCCTCCTTTTTAAGTTCTTCTGGGTCAAAAGATAAAAATAGACTAACAACAATACAACATAACCCAATAACTCTCATCCCCTAGATTTGGTGATCTTAGCCAGCTGGTAGAAAGAAAGGAATGGATGAAATGAATTCATGGCATAGTGAGAATGATTGATTGGATGACTTACTACATTAACAAAGTATCCCAAGGACATTTACATTTTAAGGCAATGCTTTTTTTTTTTTTTGAGAGAGAGCGCTAGCGAGCACGAGCAGGGTGGGGGAGGGTCAGAGGGAGAAGGAGAGAGAATCCCAAGCAGGCCCCATGCTCAGCATGGAGCCTGACACGGGGCTCGATCCCACAACCCAGAGATCATGACCTGAGCCAAAATCAAGAGTCAGACACTTAACTGACTGAGCCACCCAGGCACCCCTAAGACAATCCTTATTAAGCTAAAGGAATACATTTCAAATATAGGCTATCAGCCACTTTTAAGGAGAAGGGTAATTTGGGGGCAGAGGGATCTTTAAATCACACCATAAGGGCCGTAGTTTACTCTGCCACCTAAGTTCATCTGTTGTTCTTGGAAACATGTTGATACGGTATTCAGCCAGGAAGGGCAGAGAAACATGCTTGGGTTGGGTTAAAGGGCAAGTCCAGGCCTTTATCCCCACCCTCGTGATGTCTCTCATCTCCAGCAGGGCACTACATGGGTGCACTCTGTGCAGGGTGGATTGTCATGAGAATAAACGGATCACCTGCTAGTGCAGGGTCCACCCCAGCAGAAGGAGCCAGGAGCCGCACAAATCTGCAGTCAGTGTCCTTATCTTTTCATTAGTTAAGGCTGTTGACTTGTGGACTGGGTGTCAGTTATAGCCCTTTCATGTAGACAGGATCAAGAACCTTTGGCACAGTTGTTATCACTGTGTATAAAGGTTAAAAATTGATTGGAAGAAAATGTGGTACTTTATTCTCCCTTGTGTCAGTTGAAAGTTTAGTTTCTATGTCTTTTTGTGTCACCGAAATAATAAACAACTAGCAGGCTTTTTTCTTCATTAGGAAATGGAAATCTTTTACAGAGTAAATGCAGAATGAGTAATAGAGCAAGCACACTGTACCCCTGCCCATAAGCCTAGATACAAAGCTAGTCATTTATTAGGCTATGTGTTAGGACAGATTATGCTTCCTGCTGTCCTTGGGTCCTTAGGTATCATGACTGCTTGGTGATTTTCACTCAGATGGGATAGACCTAGGGAAACAAGGCTGGATGTGGCTCTCTTGAATTTTAGTTTTCCTTTCTCCCCCACCCATTTAATATTTCCCATATTAAGTAAAAATCTGAAACATTAGCAACAGAATTTTGATAGGCCTGTCTTCCATCTGCAAGGTGTACCATTTGAATGATACTGAAGAAACCTTTTTGGCTCAAGAGCAATGATTTTTTTTAGTGCCTTTGTACTTAATGTGCCACTTTGAGTGACTTCTTTTGAGTTAGGGTGTTTAAGTTACTTACTCTTCAACTGTATTGAAGGAAGCAAGTGTAGATATTTTATTATGAAATAGTGAACAGTTTATCAGTAATAACTGATACTCCTGGGTTCCAGGCTCTGTTCTGTTTTATGTGTGTCATATCTAGTTCTCACAACAACCTCGTGAATGGTTGCTGTTTTTCTTTTTTTTTCTTTTTTTTAAGATTTTATTTATTTATTTAATTGACAGAGAGAGAGAGAGAGGGAACACAAGCGGGGGGAGCAGGAGAGGGAGAAGCAGGCTTCCCGCTGAGCAGGGAGCCCAATGCGGGGCTCGATCCCAGGGCCCTGGCATCATGACCTGAGCCGAAGGCAGTTGCTTAACCAACTGAGCCAGCCAGGCTCCCCTTTGTTGCTATTTTTGGATAGGGAAACTGAAGCATGGGGAGTTTGGGTGACTTCAGCAAGGTTCTACACTGGCTAATGGTGCTACTGGGCAGTAGACCTGGGCAGCATTACTCCACAGTGTTCATACTTAGCCACAGAACCATACTGCCTCTTTAGCCATAACAACAAAACAAAGCCTATAAGAATACACTACACCCTGGCAGGATGGTCCCCTCTAGGATTATGAGAAGGGGGCTGGAGGGAACATTTGCTTTATCTATATCATTTGAATTTCTATTTATAATGATAATATATTCATGTATTACTTAATATAATTGAAACTTCTTAGGTTAAAATTGTTAATGTCCTAAGGTTATTAATTTCCATAAATTCATTGCTACTTTAAAAAAACTGTCAGTTAGACTCTCTGGTAGGGAACTTAGGAACTGTGTTAAAGAGATCATTTAACACAGTCTCCTTGCTTTTCAGATGAGGAACCTGAAGTTATATGATGTTTAAACTCACAGAATTAGTTTGTGGCCGAGCAGGTCTGCTGGCACCTAATTTTGTGTGCTTTCTACTGCATTTTTTGGGACATATCTTATGTGGAATGAAACATACAGTTCTTAAGTGAACAGTTTTGAGTTTCAACAAATGCATGTACCCATGTAACTGATTTCAAACTGAGATATGCATCGTTTCCATTACCCTAAACTTTCCATGGTGCTAGCAATCTCTTTGAAAACTTTACTCTTGTTCATTTGTATTAGTAAGAATTCAAGTGCTTACATTCTGTATATATCCACACATTTTATAGTTCTCAGCTTAGATACATCTTTGTTTGTGTTGTATACTCCTTGATAGGTTTCCACGAAGTCCCATGTTTCTCTTATACTTTACAAACCAGTTCCTAGTTGCTGAAATTGCTAATTGGTGTTCCTTGTTTACAGTCATTCATTCAAGTTGGTCTTTAGCCTGACATAATTATCATTACATACACATTTAGTCTTCTTTTGGTGCTCAAGCTCTCTCAACACATTTATAGTCAAAGTATATATCTTTTTTGTTATTGTTTTTTAACTAAGCAGTTCCTATATTAATATCTTGGGAGTTCTGTAAGAATAAGACATATTTACCAAAACCAATGCATTTGAACATAAACAAGTTTGGTCGTCAGTGCTTTGTGTTAACCAGAAAAGCTTATTCTCCATTTGCTTTGCTCTACAGGCTTGGTGAATGGTGTGGGGGGGGGAGGGGAGAGCTGTTATCTGTCAATGGTACCATGTGCTAATGAGCAATTTTCAAAACTGACTCCATGTTAGGAAGTATGGAAATGTCCTCTGGCATGAGTATATATCAATCCATATAAGTTTGACATCTAAAACATTTTAGTTTTGAGGCGCCTGGGTGGCTCAGTCAGTTGGGTGTCTGCCTTCAGCTCGGGTCATGATCCCAGGGTCCTGGGATCAAGCCCTGTGTTGGGCTCCCTGTTCAGCAGAGAGTCTGCTTCTCCTTCCCTCTCTGCCTGTACTCTCTCTCTCTCAAATAAATAAATAAAATCTTTTTACAGGAACAGTATAGTTTTCTTTTTAAATCTTGTTCTATAGAATTATTCTAAAACCCCTAGAAAATTTTCCCAAAGGAAATAATTTCTATAGATATTGTCACAGGAGTGACATCATAATTGTGAAAACTGGAAACAACAGAGTGTCTAATAGAAGAATGATTACATAATAAAAAACTATATAGTTACTAAAAATGATAGCTATGTGATCAAGTTGATACATGGAAATGTTTAAATAAGACAGTATTAAGTGAAAAAGAGGATCTTAAAGTTTTAAGTGCTATATAACATAGTAATTTACACCTATGTAAAAATATGTATACCTTAATAGAAATAAGTTATGAAACTTTATGCATGAAAATACTTTTGATTTTAATATTTTATAGTCTTTAAAACTTTTTATTTTGAAATTATTATTTTTTGCTAATGACAAATATTTATTTATTTTAATTCCAGTATGATTAATACAGTGTTACATTAGTTTTAGGTGTACAATATAGTGATTCAGCAATTGTATATATTACTCAATGATCATGATGGTAAGTGTACTCTTAATCCCCTTCACCTATTTCACCCATCACCCCACCACCTCCCCTCTGGCAACCACCAGTTGGTTCTCTATGTTTAAGAGTTTGTTTTGGGGGTGCCTGGGTGGCTCAGTCGTTAAGCGTCTGCCTTCGGCTCAGGTCATGATCCCAGGGTCCTGGGATCGAGTCCCGCATCGGGCTCCCTGCTCAGCGGGAAGCCTGCTTCTCCCTCTCCCACTCCCCTTGCTTGTGTTCCCTCTCTCGGTGTCTCTCTCTCTGCCAAATAAATAAATAAAATCTTTAAAAAAAAAAAAAAGTGTTTGTTTTGTTTTCCTCTTTTTTTTCTTTGTTCATTTGTTTTGATTCTTAAATTCCACATATGTGTGAAATCACATGGTATTTGTCTTGTTCTGACTGATTTATTTCACTTAGCATTATATCCTCTTCATCTATCCATGCTGTTGCAAATGGCAAGAAAACAAAAGTTAAAGGAATTCATCACCACTGAACCAATCTTACAAGAAATGTTAAAGGGGATTTTTTGAGTGGAAAGGAAAGACCATAAGCAGGACTAAGAAAAGTGGGAAAGGGAAAAATTTCACAGGTACATATAAACATAATAAAAGTAGTAGATTAATCACATAAAACCAGTATGGAGGTGAAAGCACAAAAGCAGTAAAATCAAATATATTTATTAAAAAACAGTCAAAAGATTCACCATATACCTAAAACATTGTGGGGAGGGGAGTAAAAATTTAGTGCTTTTAGAATGGGTTCAAACTTAAGTACCATCAACTTAATATAAACTGCTATATGCATAAGATGTTGTATATAAACCTAATGGTAACCGCAAATCAAAAACTGGTAATAGATATGCAAAAAATAAAGAGAAGGAATCCAAGCATTATCACCAAAGAAAGTCATCAAACCACAGAGAAGAGAGCAAAAGAAGAAAGGACCAGAGAAGAATTACAAAAACAACTGTAAAGCAAGTAACAAAATGGCAGTAAGTATATACCTATCAATAATTACTTTGAATGTAAATGGACTAAACACTCCAATCAAAAGACAGGGTATTAAGGAGGGCACGTACTGCATGGAGCAATGAGTGTTATACGAAAACAATGAATCGTGGATCACTACATCAAAAACTAATGATGTATTGTATGGTGACTAACATAACATAATAAAATTTTAAAAAAAAGGATGACTAAATTGAAATAGTTTAAAACTGCAGAGAAGGTGCAAGAATTATTCCAAGAATTCCCCCTTACCCTATATACCCTTTACTTGTAGTCATTGATTTTTAACACTTTGCTACATTTATCACTTGCTTTCTCTCTTTCCATATACATATGTACATATATATTTTCTGAATTATTTAAGAGTAGATGGCATGCATCATGCCTGTTTACTCCCTAATTCTTTAGTGCATTTTTCCTAAAAACAGGGATATTCTCATATGTAATTACAGTAGAGTTATTAAATTCAGGAAATTTAACATGTAGAGTTAAAATGTACAGTTTATATTTCAATTTTGTCAGTTGCCTCAAGATTGTTTTTTCTAGCATTTCTCCCCTCCAGTTCAGGATCCAATCCAAGATCATGTATTGCATTTAGTCTTGTCTTTTCAGTTTCCTTCAATCAGGAAGAACTCCCCACCTTTGTCATTTATGACTGACGTATATGAAGAACGTGGGCTAGTTATTTTATATTATATTCCTCAATTTGGGTTTGTGTGATGTTTCCTCATGATTAGACTCAGATTTCCTCATGACTAGATGTCTGGCTAGAAAACTACATAGAAATGTGGTATCCTTCTCAGGGGGTATGGCATCATGTTAACACTGATCACTTGATTAAAGTGTTGTCTGATCTCTCCACAGTACAGTTACTATTTTCTTTCTGTGCTTCAGCCCTAGAGGGGAGATGTGTTAAGAGCACATAGACATAATGCTCCTCATCTCACTCTTTTCCCTAGACTTAGCATCTATCTCAGTTCCTTTTAAAAGTCACATTTCCCTAAGTGAATTAAGTCAATCAGAGAAAGACAATTATCATATGATCTCACTCATGTGGAATTTAAGAAACAAAACAGAGGATCATAGGGGAAGAGAGGAAAAAATAAAACAAGACGAAGTCAGAGAAGGAGACAAGCCATAAGAGACTCTTAGTCAATCATAGGAAACAAACTGAGGGTTGCTGGGGGGGGAGGGGTTGGCAGATGGGGTAACTGGGTGATGGACATTAAGGAGGGCACATGATGTAAAGAGCACTGTGTATTATGTAAGACTGATGAATCACTGACTACCTCTGAAACCAATAATACATTATATGTTAATTAATTGAAATTTAAATTTAAAAAAGTCACATTTCCCAAGATTTATTTACATATACCCTAGGTAAACAGAAAAACTTGAATGATTTTGCTGAGGCTCTCAAAAATAATACTCCCATCCAAAGCTGTCTAGTTTGTACCACGATGTTAAACCTATCTCAAAATGCTATCTGATTACCTGTCCATAATCAGATTTAATGTCTTCCTCTTTGACCTCCAGGAACACTTTGTACTTTTCTTGGGGGCACATATTAACTTCTGCTTTATGCTTGTAACTAAAGGTATACTTCCCTTATCCAACTTACCAGACAGCAGGTGCCTTGAGGGAATGGACTGTGTCCTAATCATTTCTATGTCCTCTGCAGAGCCTAGAAGAAGCAGTCAATGGGAAGCACGTGATCAGTGTTTATTCATAAAATGCATATTTATTCCTACTACATACTGCTCTGATGTCCTAAAGACCCAATTGCATATTTAAAGAACTCATCTCTAGCATCTCTACACCTTCTGTTTAACGTGTTGCTATTTTGCTCTTGAAGAATGGAAAACTTCAGTGTCTGTCGTTTATGTATTCTTAACTCAGGCGTTAAGAAGAGTGTTGTTGAGTAAATGAGTCGCTTCCTCATCATGAGGATTTGTGTTTGATGTTTTCATCTAAGTCTTTTACTAGGGCACTGGGCCAGCTTCTCATTGCTCTGATAAGAAGGCATGATGAGGTCTGCTCTTCCTTCAGGGCATTCTTCTAACACTCATTAAGAATAACTCCGTATGTGTATTGATAGGACAGCAGATCCCTACCTAAGGATTCCCTTATGTACAGTCTTTAGAAAGTAAAATATAACCTGCCAAAATCACAGGAGTTAGGAGCCTAGGTTATTAATTTGTTTGGATAGTATTAATTTGTTTTGCCAAGACATGTAAGTTTAATTAATGATTGGAAGAACCAAAATTCTAAGTAGGTCAATCAAATCTTATGGTACAACTAATTTGCAATTAATTATAATGGGAAAAGTCCAGACGATGACACTGAGCTGCTTGTTACATTATATAGAAAATAAAGAAATTACATAAAATCCATCTTTTCTAAAGTGTACTTTTTATGTTAAGTTTTTGAAATGGATAAAGCCACATCATTCTTTGTAGTGGGGCTTTTCTTTAGAATATGAACTGATCTATTATTTTTTTAATAATTTAAAAATTTTATAATAGTTTTCGATTTCCAGAAAAGTTGCAAGAGAGTGCAAAGAACTCCCATATACTCCTCACCCCATTTCCCCTATTGCTAACAATCTATATCACTATGTACATTTGTCACAGGTTAAAAATAAACATTGGTACGTTAAAACTAAACATAATGCTTTATTCAGATTTTACCAGTTTTTCCTCTAATTCCCTTGTTGTTGTTGTTCTGGGATCCCACCCAAGATATTACATTACATTTAATCATAATACCTCCCTAGCCTCTCCTGGTCTGTGACAGTTTCTCAAACTTTCCTTAACTTAATGACCTTATAGTTTTAGAAATACTAGTCAGGTTTTTTATTTTTTGTTTGTTTGTTTGTTTTTGTTTTTTTTTTTTCAGAATGTCTCTCAACTTTGGATTACTCCAGTGTTTTTCTCATGATTAGGCAGAGATCATGGGTTTTTAGGAAGAAGACCATAACATGTAGTGCCATTCTCATTACATCATATAAAGGTGACTTATCATGTTGATCTTAATCTTCATCACCTGGCCAAGGTAGTCAGGTTTCTCCACTGTTAAGTCACTTCTTCCTCCTTTTCCATACTCTTCTCTTGGAAGCCAGTCAGTATGTCCAGCCTACTGTAAAGGGGGAAGGAAGGGTGGGAAGTTAAATTCTACCTCTTGAAGGGGAGAGTATCAACATAAATTATTTGGAATTCTTTTGTAAGGGAGATTTGTTTCTTCTCCCTATTTATTTATTTCAACCATTTGTTTACATCAGTATTGATCCATGGATATTTATTTTATACTTTGGGTTATAATACAATATTTTGTTATTTATTAGTTGCTCAAATTGCTCCAGCATTGGCCATTGGGAGCTCTTTCACCTGGCTCCTGTGTGTCTTTGATATGCCCCCATCATTATGTTTTTTTAGTACTTCCTTACTTTCTAGTACTACAAGATGGTCTAGACTATCTTGTATATTCTCTGCTTCAGCCCTAGAATCAGCCATTTCTCCAAAGGGCCTTGGTTCATTTTATAGGAAGATTGTATTAGAGACTGGCCCATATTTTGATAATATAATAATGAATTTTGGAAATGAAAGTGAGAGCTGTGAAGAGGTAGGACACATAGGCTTTGATGATAGGCACTGACTTGGAATCATAACTCTGCCATGAGTAGTAGGCTGATCAACATTCCCATTTTGCCTGTGAGTGAGAGATTTCCAGGGATGTGGGACTCTCCACGATATAACAAGGATGAGTTGGCCACCTTAGTCATGGAATTGGTTATGTCTCATGGGTGCAAGGGACAAAAACTCAAAGTACCTCAGTTTAAAAAGGGAATTTAATGACTCATTTAACTGGGAAAGCTAAGGATGTATGGGTTTCAGGTGGAGCAGCATCCAGGGAGCAATTGATGTAATTAGGGCTCCCTTTGACTCCATGTTTCAGCTCCGCATCCTTCTGTGTGTTGTTTTTTTTTTTTCTTAGATTCTCTGCATGTGGTGGGAAAAGTGTGGGCTTTCTTTAATGGAGAAGAACAGCTGTCCTCATTCCCTAAGACAGGGGTCAAAACTGAAATATCTAGAAGGGTGAGGCACGTAGTATAAAGAGTGGAACAGGCTGGGTGGAAGACAACAGAGAGTGATGGGACCTTTAAGGGGGAAGCTTTAGTTGTTGAAGCTATGTAGGAATGTAGGTTCACTATTGCCAGATACTCCAGTTTTTCAAAATAAGCCAGAAATGTGAAACTCTGATTTTTAAATGTTGGTAAGTAATTCAATTAAATAACAACAACATAATTCATACCAAGAAAATATACTCATGGATCATATCGCTGTCTACCAGTTTATAACCTCCTCCTTCATTAGTCCAGGGCCATTTCCCGGCTGCCTTAGGGATACTTGGGCACATACCTGCAAAAGGTGGTTCCCTTAGTAGTTTCAAGATATATTTACTGTTTTTGAAAATAGATCCCATTTGACTAGCCTAGTGGTTAAGTGCTTGAAAGTTCACTGTGTCTGAACCATCCTTCAAAGAGCATCTTTCATTAAGATATGCAGGTATATAAACTTATGTGTGGAAGCATATGGGAATAACCTTTAGTTAATTGCC